GCTCTGAGTTACCCAGCGATTGCTTAAGGAGTTGCTCAGGGAGGAGGATCGAAGGCCCCCGAGGGTACAGCTGAGGAGACGAGGGGGCCAACGGGCAAATGAAGAAACGGAGAGTCCACATGGGCCCCTAGCACGGTATTAGGGTTAGGAATATGAAGTAGGGTTGCATGATAAAGAAGTCAGGTGCCATGTTTATGCCCATTCTAGAGCTGGGCACACTGAGGCACATCGTGAGGTTTGGGCTTGCACTTCCAAAAGTGGCCTCTACTTGGGAATACCTCATTTTTCAACCCTGCGGATACCCTGGGTAGCCTATTCCACTACCTCACTAATCTCACCGTGAAGAAGTTTTTCCAGGTATCCAATCTAAACCAACTTTGCAACTTCCAGCCTTTGGTCTGCATCTGCCTCTCTGCAGCAAGACAGGAAAAGTGCTTTCCCTCTCCTTTATGGCGGCCCTCCACATATTTGAAGACTGCTATCCTGTCCCCTCCGGCGTTAAGAGTTACGCAGACCATAACTCGAATACCATAAGTCTAACACTGGGACCTACAGCTCCGGCCCGCCGAGGAGGGACACCTACAATTAGAAGCCATTTCTACAGTCCATCCCGCAGCAACATAAGAAGAAAACCCAACTGTCTGGTTGCAATTTTTAGACATCACCCCTTCATTCATTTAGAGCACAGCATTTACCAGGCATTAAAAGCAACCTGAAAAATAGGCATCTAAAGCAGTGTCTGAACATCCAGTATCGTGCCTGAATGAGAAACGAAAGAGGCCAGCAGTAAGTTCATGAAGAGGCATTAGTTTTTGTCCATGCCATTGTGGCTCCAAGCAGATGCAATGAGACAAAGCACCCCTTGCCCATGCAGGGCAGCTCCAGTGCATAACAGCATCAACCAGTGCAAACCAAACTCGGCTGCGAAACAAAAAAGCTTGCCAAAAATATGGAGGGGAAGGGGTGGCTGCTCTCTCTGCACTGCCGTTAAACTCATGATGTCAGCCCATAACACACGAACCACATAAAAAGCAGCAGGCCCGCGTCACCCGAAGAAGGTTGGAGCTAGGTTTGTGCATTGAACGCAGCGTGCAGTTAGCACAAACCAAGGATGGAGCTATACAACACCCTCCTCAATCTCCAGCACTCATTTAAAGTGTGGGCAGACCTTGCCCAGTGGTGGTAGGAGTTAGCTTTTGGAGGCCCCATGCCAAGGTTCATTTTTGGAGCCCCGCTCTTTACCAGACGAGCGCCCTGCAACACTACCGCACTGCAGCGGGGAGCCCTGACCTGCTCAGCTGCACGGTTGGCATTGCCTCAGATCCCCTGAAAAACCATGTCAAGGATTCAAAGGACAGATCTGAGCATAAGGACGCTGCCTTATCCAGGCCCGTTACCTGGATCTGGAGGGTCTTTCTCCACTGCCCCTTTGGCCTCTACATGGAAACTGCAAATAGTCTGGTGGTAAGCGCCGCACGAACACCTGTCTTACTTGGTAAAAGGCTGGAAAGTGGCCGCCAACCCATCTGCAGCAGCTCCTGAGCCACTGATTAATGTTAGTGACCTTCGTTCATTAACGATCGAGGTGATACTCGAGACAAGGACCGGCATTTCTTTAAGGCTTCGAAGCTCAGAAACTTTCTGAGACAGAAACAAAAACAGATTCAAACCTTTCCAGGTACAGCTTGGGAAACAGAGCTGCATTGTGCCTTTAAGAGCCCATCACCAAAGGAGCCAGGTTTACTTTGAAAAGGAGTTTGCTAAGAATGGGCGACAGGAGCAAAACACGAAACCCCGGTAGGGAAGAGAACAAAACACAAGCAGATACGTCTTTTCTTAACGCCTCGTCAGCAAAATCCCCGGTTTCTGGGCCAGGTTTCTTTTTTTTTTTCCTTCTTCTTCTGCAAAACGATTGTGATAATTTGCCAATGATGCTTTCCTAAGAACAGCTGCCAAAGCAATGCAGCAGCTATCTCATCCACCTCCTTCCAACATTTCCTCCTGAAGCATGAATTGAAAGTTTTTTGCCTTGGGGACAGTCACGCTAACTGACATAATGAATTAAAAGATGGGGGGAGGGGAGGGAGGATTTTAACGGATGTAGAGGGAAAACGCACACACACATTTGCTTCATTCCCATGTTCAACCGCTGCACAGACTGGAGTCTGTAGGATCTCAAACCTTTTTTGTTGAAGTATTTTGAGCTAAAACGGACCCATTAAGGGCAACAGAAAACCTGAGGATCCCAGACTCTGTGAAGCCCTGTGTGCAGAAGAAAGAGCCCAGTGTGACCGAGAGTCTCACCCACTTTCTGCTCTTGGTGACATGCCAAGCAAACAGGACGTTACAACTTACATGGTACATTTGCGGTTTGCACGAGGTATTCGTGGGCTTTTGATGAAAATTCCTTACAGGATGAGTGATATTAATCAAAGCACGTTATTAAATGCAACCCTTTAGGACCTGTCCGGTGATCCAGGCCGTGAACTTGGATTTCATGTCCACTTCTCATCTCTCTCCCCACCATCCCAGGAGCCCGGAGGAGCTGAAAGCATTGCAGAGATGTCACACGCTCACCTGGATGGAGACCCTGGCAGGTTTTCTGATCGTAGGAAGGCAGAGTTTAGAGACCGAGTTAATGAAGTCCGTGTATATGGGGAGAATGGGACAACCCCAAAGACATCCAAATCCCAAAAGAAATATATATTTATTCATGTGTCATCTATCCCATCTGGCACTCAGAAAAGGAACAAAACCACCGAGGGTACTGGTTTATTGAAGCTTTGAAATCTCCAGTAAAAATATATGCCAGTTCTGATCCATATAAAATAAAGCCCCCAAGATCCAGTTATACTATCCTATTTTATTGAGTGAGAATAGTCTATTATTCTATTATTCTAGCATACTATTCTATTGAGCTAGAATATTATATTTTTATTTTATTCTAGTATACTAGTCTATTGAGCTAGAATATTATATTCTTATTTTATTCTAGTATACTATTATATTGAGCTAGAATATTATATTCTTATTTTATTCTAGTATACTAGTCTATTGAGCTAGAATATTATATTCTTATTTTATTCTAGTATACTATTCTATTGAGCTAGAATATTTTGCACTGTCTAGAAAATGCTGTGTCTCCTTTTCTTTGATTCTCCACCCACCAAAAGAAAACTGATTCTGATGCTTGGTATGTAATATAAAGACGTTTTGCTATGAGGAAATACATTGTTTTGGGTTTTTTTTATCTTATAAGATTTGCTTCAAGATATTTCACTCTTGCTTTTTCCCTTGTGCCCCGACTGAAGAGAATCAAGCCACAAAGAGTTTCTGACTGGCTTTCAATGGCTTCACATCAGGCATCCTGTGAACAGTTTATTCCGAAAAAGGGGGATGTCCTTTCCAGACATATTACCAAATTGCTCCAAGGATTCCCCGCGTTCTCCAAGCTGAACTGCAAGACAGGCCGCTTTTTAAAGAACAAAAGACACCTTAACAAAGAGTAATATTTAGAATCATGCAGGATGCCTTTTCCAAGCTCATGCGTAAAGATACAACCACAATATAATCTGTCTGGCAAGTCAAGGCAGAACAGATAGCAAAATACTTGCATCAGTTCAGAGCCACGTTAATAAATGCCCTCAGGTTGGTCAAGGAGTAATGTCTCTGTGTTGGCAAGGTTACTGTAGGGCCTAAGATTTGAAGCAAGGGCATCTTACTGTGGTTCAAGGTGCCCAAAGCCCTGGGATCTGTAAGAGACTGCAGAACATCCTGGTAATTGAAGAGGCAGTGGGGAATGCTGGCTATGACCCATGTCTACCTTGCTGGCTAGGACCCATGTGTACCGTGTTAGCTAGGACCCATGTCTACCTTGCTGGCTATGACCCATATCTACCTTGATAGCTAGGACCCATGTCTACCTTGCTGGCTATGACCCATGTCTACCATGCTAGCTAGGACCCATGTCTACCTTGCTGGCTTGGACCCATGTCGACCATGCTAGCTAGGACCCATGTCTACCTTGCTGGCTTGGAGCCATGTCTACCATGCTAGCTAGGACCCATGTCTACCTTGCTGGCTATGACCCATTTCTACCATGCTAGCTAGGACCCATGTCTACCATGCTAACTAGGACCCATGTCTACCTTGCTGGCTTGGAGCCATGTCTACCTTGCTAGCTAGGACCCATGTCTACCATTGCTGGCTAGGACCCGTATCTACCTTGCTATATAGGACCCATATCTACCTTGCTAGCTAGGACCCATGTCTACCTTGCTGTCTTGGAGTCATGTCTACCTTGCACTAAGGTACCCTCAGCTCTAAGCAGCACTGTCTTTGTATTGCCATTGGCAATGAGCCATTGGGATGTGGAAGACTACTTTGAGCGAGAGGATTCACACAATGGATGGGCAAGAGCTGTCAAGGTGAACTTCCTATCCAAAAGCTGCCTTCCCGCCTCCCCCCACCAGATTTGGCAGCATTTGGGTCTTGGCTTCTTGTTTTGATCCACTTCTAAAGCACACACTGTACAGAGGTTATAACTAATGTAGCAGGACCCAAGCGGCCCAGGAAAACCTGAGCATGGGGTCAGTACCAGCCTGTTATGTCCTCAATCTTTAGGTCCTCAAACCTTTATGTCCTCAAAATAGGGCCTATGTTGGGTAAACTGGGCATGTGCCTCCTGCTACCCATCTTGTGAAGGGATGATTCATAACCTTAGCCCCTAAGGAAGGATGACCTATGCAAACTTGAAAAGACCAGTGGAAAAAGCGAGCAAATCAAAAGGGACCCACAAAACTCTCCCCCGCCGTGCAGGGTGTTCAAAAGCCAAAGCTCCCGCGGGCAATGGCATAACCCAGCTTGTTGTGGTTGCCGATGAAAGACATTAGCCCCACGTGGGTGTCGATCAAGAGGGGCTGGTTGAGCACCACAACTCCGGTGGGGTTGCCTGGTGGCGGGTTCTTCCTCTGGGCTTTCTGAATGGCCTGGACCAGCTGAGCACTGAACATGGACATCTGTGGAAGGAGGAGACAACAGGAGTGAGGATTAGTTGAGTGTATACTCCCCATAGGTAGACTGGGAGGAGGTTGCTGCAAGAGAAGCAACCTGGAGGCTAAATCCAGCAAACAAATTGACCATCGGTGGCAAATAACCTTTTCTGTAACCCAATCCCTGGCTTGTTGCGGATGCGTATAGACAGGCATTTCCCCTTGTCTCTCTGCCACCTCGCCTCCACCCCCTGCCACCGCTAAATAACACTTCTCCATCCAAGTGGAAAGATGGCAGTGGTCCAAGGGTTAAAAGATTTTAATTCCAATGTGGAAGTGCCAAACTTCAAGGATCCATTTCCTGCACATGCAAGGGATGCGGGGACTTTCTGTACAGTCAAGGATCAAGGACTAGAGTGATCAGGTCCTTGCACATGGAGCCATCCTGAACACGCAAAGAAGCCCAAGAAGGTGCATAACCATCAAGCGAGACAGGCAGTCTGCGTGGAGCACTCACCCAGAGAGCCAAAATAGGTGGGGAAGTGGTGACCCTGGAGCTGGGGAAGGGGAAGATGTGAATATCAGGAATACAGACTCAGTCACAGCCGTAGCAGGATCTGGAAGCCAAGGATGAGACTCTGAAGAAAGCGGAGCCACATGGAAAGGAGCTGAGGATTGCTGAAAGATTGGGGGTTTGTACTAAAAAGTCGCACCTTCCCTAGGAGGAAGGGCTGCTTGCTTTACCATCCGAGCTATGAACAGGGCCGTGTTCAGAGCTGGGGACATCCATCAGCTCTGCGTGGCTGACTGCAAAGTTCAAGAGCAAAGAAGGACAAACAAGGACAAGGGGAAAGACTGCCAAGTGGACAGGAGCCCTGCCCTGTGGGTGGAGAGCCTGTGCATCTGGACCAGGTGAACAGGAAATGAAACACCCCCAGATTCGGGGTTGAGTTATGGTGCAAAGAGCGTTTGCAGATATCCCACTCATGTCACAGACAACTCTGAGCCGCCCGCATGGACAGCAGCTTTCCACCGCTCCAGAAACAGACCTAACCTCAAGCCCTGACCTCCCTGCAAAGCTTCTGCATGTGCTGGGCATGGGAACCAGTCAGGATTGGCCCCAGACCTGACATTCACCTTTGCACCCCAAGGCCATTACCACCCGAACCAAAATCTGGCATGCAAATATCTCCATTCCCTCCTTCTCTGGCCGGACAGTATTTCAAGTTTCTTTCGATGGCAGAGCGGTCCCGAATCCAAACGACACGCTGGGCATTGCATTCGAAGACTCATCTCTTACCAAGGTTGTGAGCTCTTTATATTCAGAGAGTGAAAGGACTGCTGGGACTGAGTAGTCTGATTTCTTCCATAACACAGGCCAGGAGACTTCCCTGAATTAATCCCTGTTTGAACTACAGTATACAGTATATCTTTTAGGAATAAAAATATACAATCTCATGTAAGAATTGCCAGAGAATTCACCCCTAATCCCTGGTAAGACGATCCAATGTTTAATTGTTTTCACTCTGAAAAAAAATGCACGCCTTATCTGGAGTCTGAAATTTTTTAGCTTCAATTTCCAGCAGTTGCTTCTTGTTATTTCTTTGTCTCCTAAATTGAGGAGCTTTCTATTATCAAGTTTCAGTTCCCCCCGGTATACTTAGAGACTGTCACCTTTTAACCCACTCTTTGACAAGCTCACCCGATAGAGCTCCTTGTGTCTTTCCCTCTAAGACATATTTTCCATTCTCCTGGCTCTTTTCTGAATCTTTTCCAATTCAACAACATTGTTCTTGAGTTGTGAGCACCGGAGCTGGACAGAGCATTATACCCGCGGTCAGGATATCTCATGCCTAAGGCCACATGGGATTCGCAAGCAGAAGAAGTGTCCCTGCTCCCAAACCCCCTGAGAGGACGCATCATATAGCCATCCTCAGGGCACACCTGACACACACGGACCACACCAAACCCAGGGAGCATCTACATGTCTTCATTGGCCAAGTTCGCGGACGACACCAAGTTATGGGGGAGCGTGGCTACACTTGAAGATAGGCTACAGATACAGGTGGACCTAGACAGGCTGGGAAGTTGGGCAGATGGAAACCTGATGAAGTTCAATGTCAAGAAATGTAAAGTGCTGCACCTTGGGATGAGCAACCCCCAACACACCTACAGGCTCGGCGGCACCAGATGGACTAGCACCACGAATGAAAGGGACCTGGGGGTAATTATGGACCACAGTATGAATATGAGCTGGCGGTGCAATGCTGTAGCCAACAGGGCAAATAATACTGTGGCATGCATCAATCGATGCATCTCCAGCAAAACCAGGGGGGTGATTCTTCCACTCTGCTCAGCACTGGTGAGATCGCAGCTGGAGTGCTGCATCCAGGTCTGGGCACCTCACTTCATCAAGGACGTGGGCAAGCTTGAGAGAGTCCAAAGAAGAGCCACCTGCATGATCAGAGTCATACATGGCAAGCCATACGAGGAAACGCCGAGGGATCTGGGACTCTTCAGCCTGAGGAAGAGGAGGCTGGGAGGGGACCTGGTACTGCTACACGAGGGGAGTACATCAAGGGCTCGGTGAGCAACCGTTCACCAGGGCACTTGAGGGGAAAACCAGGAGTAGCAGCCACAAACTCCTGGAAGATTGATTCAGGCTCAACATTAGGAAAAACTGCTTCATAGTCAGGGTGTCCAGACTGTGCAATAAGCTCCCTCCAGACATGGTGCAATCACCGACCCTGGACATCTTCAAGAGGAGACTAGACAGTCACCTGGCTGGGGTCACTTGCCCCCAGTTATCTTCCCTGCTTGGTGCAGAGGGCTGGACCTGATCATCTTCCAAGATCTCTTCCAGCCTTACAATCAATGAATCGACGTGCGCTTTAATGCGCATTAGCCTATTTTAATGCACATTAAAGCATAGCTAAAAAATGTGCTATTTAGTTAATGCACATTAAAATAAGTTAATGTGCATTAAGCATCACTTTAAAACTGTGCTCTTTAGTTAATACGCATAAAAGGCTATAAAAGGGTGCCTATCCACGAGCACAGAAGCTGCTCTGATGTGCTGTAATTATAATGCATCAGAGCAGACTTCATTAATTGAGTCTCCTGGGGAGTCGTAATTACCGCACACCAGCCAGCCTCCGTGTCTTGTGCATCAGTGCCCCTGTGTTCAAAATGGTGGCGGAGGTGCTTGAACTAAAGCCGTTTCAAAGCGCTGGGATGCTGATATACGAGACACTGTGGTGCTTTAATTCGAATTAAAGCACCCACCCCACAATCCCCAGAGAATGTGTAAAAGTTCCCAGATCATCAAAAATGATCCTATGAGATATATATATTTTATGTGTGAACTTGTATAACTGTTATTACTCTCCTTTAAAAATACTTGGGAGTCCCCTCCCATATCAACTAGCCCCTTAACTTGGCTCAAACAGTGTCAGGCTGATGGGCCCGGAGCTACCTTGATCTTTCTGTTTGCCCTTTTTTGAGATCAGTATAATCTTTTGTTTTCTTTCACTTCTCCAGAACTTCCCCAGTGTCCCAAAACTGAATGAAAATCAACAGTACGGGGCCAGAAAGCCCCTGGGACCACTAATTTACACTCTGTTTAAAATTACCTAGTTAACTTGAAAATGCCTAACTTCAGAAGCTGCTAATGAACGTCCTCCAAAGTGATTATTGGAGTGAAAAGTCTTTCATCATCATGCAATGATTCGTCCATCACCCATTGATATCTCACATAGACTCATAGACAATGAGGGTTGGAAGGGACCTCGGGCGGTCACATCCAGTCCAGCCCCCTGCTCCAAGCAGGACCAGCCCCAACTACATCATCCCAGCCAAGGCTTGGTCTAGCTGGGTCTAAAACACCTCCAAGGATGGAGATTGCAACCCCTCTCCAGGTATCCCATTCCAGTGCTTCACCACCCTCCTAGTGAGAAAGTTTTTCCTAATATCCAACTTAAACCTCCATATCCAGAGCAGAGACATTTCTGGCGTCTCTGCAGTAACTCTGGGAATTTCCCCCAGGCCCATCAAGTAATGAGCTAATACCGGTGCTCAGATGCTAACTTTGCTAAGAAAACTTTTTTATTGTCAGGCCTCTAAAATAGCAGTAACTTTACCCAGAGAGGCATCTTTCCTCATTGCAGACCCTTTTAAACCCCAAAGACACCTCCAATGGTAGCGTGCAAGGAACAAACAGCAGGAAATGCATGAACCTCTGTATAAAGGTCGGGAGCCCACGTACACGAGAAGTGTGCACACAGAGGAAGATGCTAGCGTGCTTTCAGGCTGCTCACCCCCTGTATATGCAGCACCTTTGTCTCTCTAAACATCTGCAGGCTCCTTTCTGCACAGCCAGGGCAGTATTCACTAATGGTTTCAGTCCCTAGCCTCCCCCTCATCACTGTCTGACTCTCAGGCCAGACCCGCTAGACTCTGAGCTGCCCAAACGCAGACTTTGTTCACACCCACGGTGGTGGAAGCATTATTGGAAATTATGTATGCTTTATTTGCAAGAGAGTACTACTTCATCTTTAAAAACACATGCACGCGCACGTTACAGCGAGCCAGCATATTACACCGTAAGCTGAGACGAGGGCAGGAGCAACGAACATGCATTTCCAACAGCTGAATTCAACCAGAGTGGCTGGGCCGTGTGTCACGCTAAACGAATGCTACCGGCAGCCCGTTGCCTTGCCGAGCTTTCAGTTTTCTAAATAAAAAAAGGATCAGGTTGCAACAAACCCTGGATGTAGGAAGCAGGGAGAGAGGTGGGTTTTCTGGGAGCTGCCATTGCTTACAGGTTGCCCACAGTTTATTAAAAACCCTAGCTCGGGAGTTTGTTTCAGTCTGCGGTCGGAGGTAAGAGGCCACTGCTCGCTTCCTATTTACATTTCTCCGTGGCTGGACTCCCTGTTCCCAGACCAGAAATCACTGGCAAGGGAAGGCAGACAAGGCTCTTTGGGTAGATGTTGTATCTTCACCAGCACACTCTCTCTGTGCCTGAAGAAGGGTGCTTGTGCCCCAAAGCTTGCAAAGAACAATTTTGCCAACTATTTATTTGGTCTAATAAAAGATAGCACGTCTACCCAAAGTATGTCCTTAGACCAATACGGCTACAACCACCCACCCTGGTAAAGAAAGAGAATTGCAGATCCCACCCTTTGGCCTGGCTGCAGTGTGGTAGAGGAAAGGCAACCTACTTTCTAAGCTCCACGTATGTCATGTTACACAACTGTTACATGCCTGTGCATGCACAGGGGTGGACGAAGGTGGCATGCTTGGATACAGTGCATTGCCTGCATGCGGGGCCGTGTTCAGAGCCAGTGTTGCACTGAGAGGCCTAGATCCCAAGATGAGGGTGAGGGAAAACAAGCCAGGAAACCTCGAATGCTCTAGTTCGTTGGGGTGCGAGGGTCTTTGGTTCACTTTAATTCTCATTTGGCCCCTCTCACCGTAGTCCTCACAAACAGGAATGGCTCCATCTGCAAATCTGGGGTGCAGGTAGGAACCGAATTGCAATGGGAGGCAGCCCATTGCCTCCGCTATGAGATCAGCCTCTGTCCTCTTGGCCCCTCTACATACAAGCTTGTCACCATCCTGGGGTCCCACAACCACGGCTTTTATTTGCTGCCCTGAGGGGCTAATGCTTCTTACCTGGCAGATGGCACCGAACCTCTGACTGCTGCCCTTCACTGGATGCTCCATGAACGTGACATACGGGACCTCCGTGGACCACGGGTTCCAGCGGGACAGGAAAGACGGTTCTTTCAGATTATCCCAGTGGATTCGCAAGCCTTCTCCCTCTCTCCTAGCAAAAAAAGCCATCCAAACAGAGAAACGTGCATTAGCTGGGGTGACTCAACACAGGGATCTCAACCCTACTTAACCAGCAGCTTTCCATAATCAAGGACAGTGCTTTAGGCAGAAGGGTGAGTGACATGAAATACTTGGTTGTGTGAGTTTTTAAAAAGGATCTGCTTTGATACCTCTTTACTTTGCAGCTTGAGAGACATATGATTCTCAAGATGAGCAATTAGACTATTAGGTGCGAAGTGTTTATACAGTCCAAAACCAGGAGTCAGGGACTTCTGAGCCTTTCTAAAGACAAGGGTGCAACCATCGCTAGAGTAGACATTCCCACATTTAGCCACCCAAAAAGCTATCCAATACCACTGTATTTCAATGCAGGCAACACATATCTCCTTGCTTTGTCTGTCCTGATAGCATAATAACCAAGCTCAACCCCCAGTGAAGGCAGGATCATCCCTGCCTACACCACCTCATCCAACTTTCTGTCCAACTTTAAGGATGGAGGCTCCACTGTCGAGGCAATCTTTCCAATAATGAACCACCCTCAGAGTGAGAAAGTTCTTCTGAATATCCACCCTGAATGCCCCTCGTTGCAATTTAAGGTCATTATTTTGCATCCCATCCCCTGTCTCAGTTAACATTATGAAGCCATCCTCATGCTAGAAATGGCTGGACACGGTTGAAGATTCACTTTCAACACATGGATTTGGTAAGCTTCCAGTGGAGGTCTAAAGACCCCCCCCTGAAAAATTATGAGCCCAAATCATCTACAGATCAACTATGGGCCCAAATCATCACCCAGAACCGTCTACACAAACGCCATGGGAATAACATCCTTTGCCAACCAAGCCAGTTACAAAATAAACCCTACATCCAACCCAAAGTCATACACCAGCCTGGAATATGCCCAAGTCATGCTACATGTTTTAAGCCCAATATTACAGTCTTCATGGCTAGAAAGCACCTGTGGGCTTGTCTACCCTGCCTACATACCATGACTTCACTGGTACATGCCCAGAGGTATATGACATCCACATCTGGATTTAGCATCCCCAGAGGGAAATGGCAGCATAGCCTACCCACTAACACAGTCCCAAATCAACATGCTGCCCTCAGTACATGCGATAGACAAATTGAAGAGTCCAGTGGAGGGCAATGAAAATCATTCAGGGGCTGGGGTACATGATGTATGAGGAGAGGCTGAGGGAAATGGGCTGATTTAGTTTGCAGAAGAGAAGACCGAGGGAGATTGAATAGCAGCCTTCACCTCCCTGCAGGGGGTTGCAAAGAGGACGGAGCTGGACTGTTCTCAATGGGGTCAGATGGCAGGACAAGGAGCAATGGGCTCAAGCTGCAGCGGGGGAAGTTGAGGTTGGATATTAGGAAAAACTCTCTCATGAGGAAGGTGGAGAAGCACTGGAACAGGTTACCCAGAGAGGTGGTGCAATCCCCATCCTTGGAGGTGTTGAAGACCCAGGTAGACAAAGCCTTGGGTGGGATGCCGGCTCAACAAACCCCTGAACGGGACGATGGAGTTGGGGCTGGTCCTGCTTGGAGCAGGGGGTTGGACTAGATGTGACCTCCTGAGCTCCCTTCAACCCTTGTTTTCCATGATTCAGTGATTCTATCTGAGAGGACACTGAGGTGGGAAACAACTGCAAGTTCACCCGGTTTCATACGTGGCACTGCTCATTCTTCTGGAACGAGAGTTTGTAATGTGTCCCACTGTCTCTTCATGCAAATGCTCCCCAAAGATTAAGTCAATCCCTTTTTAATAAACCCCATATAAATGTTCACTCCTAATTCAATATGCAGGTCACAGAATGGGAAGGCTTGTCATTCTGAACATCTGAAACCAGCACAAAACAGGAGATGGGCTTTATGTTCGTCTATAAAATGAAACCTGGGATTTCTCGATAGGAAAGCTAGTGCTGACTTGCTTTGTCACCACAATGCCTCAGTTTCCTGTGTTTAGGAACCCTATCCCTCCACTTCAGCACAGAGTCCCTTTGGGGATGTTCTTGTGGTTTCCCCATTTATTATTATTATTTTCCTAAGACTGATCCTGGGTTTAAGTTGTAGAGTATGCACAATGCAAAATATAGCAAAGACCTTGGCACAAATAGCAGCAGTACTTTAACACTTTGGACAATTATAGTTGAAATCTAAAACCCAATAATTTTTGCATCTAATCCTCTTTTTTCCTAAAGATTAGAGATTTCTTTCTTTCTTTCTTTCTTTTTTTTTACAAAAGGAAAAGGAAAAGGTTTCAGAATGCACCATCAGCTCCTCCCTTCATCCCTCAATGCTGACATTTTTATCTCTGTACACAGTGTTTCTACCCCCTTCCCCAGCCTGGCAACAAAACCTAAGCTCAATGAGTATTTTATATACGTGTGTGGTTAATGGAGCATTCTGGCTTCGTTCCATCGAGGGATCTTGCACAGTGGAATATTAACTGCTTTGCAATGTGCAGGTTTGGCTTTGCCCAAATTTTCACCAATTCAAGGACCTGTTGCTATCCTTTTGCTAAGTCCTCCTGGATGAGGTTAATGAGCAAGAACCGAAGGACATTTGCCTATAGCAGTTGTTCCCTTTTCTAATGATGGTCGCATATGGGAGAGTGGAGTTATCGCCAACTTCTGTGTCCCCCTTTCAGAGGTCTGTCTCGGCTCCGATGAGGAGGGATTAAAGAACAGAAGAAGGGCCACCGTGGGTCAAGCCAAAGACCTCTGCCAGGGACAAGCAGTGGATGCTTTAATGGAAGAATATAAAAAAATTGGGCAAACATAGAGTGACCCATGCTTTGCACGCCTATCAACTCACCAGCAGCCGGTTAAGCCTGAGGACACATCCCTAACTGTTCCAGAGCTCCTGAAGGACTTGACCTCCACACGTTTTGGCTTGGTTATACTATGGACATCCTACAGCAATGAGTTGCTCAAGTTAATTATGTGCTGTGTAAAATAAGGATTTCCTTCTTTCTTCAGCTGCTGCTTGATGTTGGGACTCCCTAGTTCTTGTATTACAAAATAGAGAGAGTAATGGTTCCCCTATCCATCTTTTCCACAGGATTCAAGGTATTATAGGCTTCTATTAGGTCCCCCTCAGTCATTTCCTTTTTGCTGTGAAGGATCCAAACCCTTTCAGTTTTTCCTTGTATAGAAGCTATTCCATACCCCTGACAGAGCAAGGAGCAATGGGCTCATGTTGCAACAAGGGAAGTTGAGGTTGGATATTAGGAACAACTTTCTCACGAGGAGGGTGGTGAAGCGCTGGAACAGGTTACCTAGGGAGGTGGTGGAAGTGCCGTCCTTGGAGGTTTTGACAAAGCCATTGCCGGGATGGTGTAGTTGGTCGTGCTTTGAGCAGGGAGTTGGACTCCCCCCATGTACATCACATTGCACTTATCAATGCTGAATGATTTCATCTGCCTCTTTACTGTCCGCTCAGGCAGTTGTGTGAGATCTCACTGTGAGTCTTCCCCATCAGCCTTGGGTTTGGCTATCTGGAATAACTCTGCATCATCCTCATATTTGGCCACCTCATGATTAACTCCCTTTCCCCATGGCTTATGAATATATTGACCGGCACAGGTCCCAACACACGTCTCTGGGACACACCACTGTCCCTCAAGACTACAAAAAGACACAGGCCAAGTAGCCACATCCCTGATTAAACCAAGAATAAAGTATAGCAGTCGAGCTGAGAGTGTTAAAGTCCATTTTAATAGAAACTGAGCACCCAAACCTTCTGTTTTTGGCATGCGGCTGGCTGACGGCGGAGGGAACAGGCAGCAGAGTGGCAGATAGGGCACGGAGCAGAAAGCAGAGCAGCAGATCAGACAAGAAGCACAGGGCAGGAAGCAAAAAGCAGAGCAATAGATGGGGCAGGAGAAGGAGATCGGCGTGGCACTTAGGAAAGGCACGGGACTAATTTGTAGCACACCTGCCAAAAAGGTTGGTTCCCATTGGCTTGAAGCTTACATGACACTGGGCAAAAAAGGGGTAAAAAATGGGGAAAAAGCGAGGAGGGATGCAGAAAGAAAGAGACTGCATTTCTTCAAACACTGCTCTAAAGCCCCATGGCCTCTCTCATCCCAGGGCCCAGGCAGCAAACGAGCCACATTTTCCCCAGCAATAACCTCGTTACCGTTGTCTTCTCCTGCCACCGCCCCCATTTCCCTCTCCCGCCCCCTCCCAGAACAGATTCGGCTTCAATGGAAATTTTTCAGAATTTGCTGAAACCAGCTGAAGCCGCCTAATTGACGAAAGAAGGGAAATGGCAACTTCCATCATCTCAAAAAGCTGCACCTATCTCAGCGCTGAATAAAGGAATTAAAAGTATAGCCCGGGGCAGCAAGCAGAGATTTACAAGGAAGCAGAGACATGAGCTCTCGCTCCGAAGGCTGGGCGTGTGCGTGTGAGCCAGAAGGAGCAAACACAGCAGAACGGAGCCGAGATTTACAGAGGCTATGTGCCGAGGAGGAGGAGGAGGAGGAGGAAGAAAAACTTAAACCCTGGCGAGTAAAACAAAGATGGTCTTGGCAGCACGAAATGCTACCCTGCTCTGTTTATTTACCGACACAAAGGAAGAAGCGAGTTGGCACCTCCGAGGGTATTAAATGCTGTTTTCTTGCTGACTGAATGACCTCAGACGAAATATTTTCCATGACAAGAGCCCAGAAGACGCTGGCACTGAGTCAGACAATAAGATTTTCAGAATGTATTTACACTCTATCCATGGCCCCGGGCTTTTCCAAACCCAAAGGCAGGTGCTGCCTTTATCTCTTCTTTGCTCACCTGGCTCCCAACCAGAGGCCTCAGGCTGAGTTACTTTAACTCTTTGCTGACTCTGCTGCTCTGTGGAGTGAACACCACGGACCTTGGTGACCCTGCGGGAGGAGAGGGCATCCTCCGGTTGCCTGGGCTTGAGCAGTACCTACCACAGACATACCCGAGCAAAGACGGCTTTTCAAGGCAGGCTGCTAACAAGAAG